TCCTTCCCTATGGCATCGGGCATCCTCCCCTATGGAATTGAGTGTCCTTCCCTATGGGATTGGGGTTCCTCCCCTACGGGACTGGGCATCCTTCTCTATGGGACTGGGTGTCCTTCCCTATGGGATTGGGACACCCTCTTCCCGGAGATGATGCCTCCTTCCCTAACAAACGATCCCTTTCCCAAGACATTATGCGCCCCTATGGGCAGATTCTCCTTCCCCAGGGGATTCCGGATCCTTCCCGGCAGGATTCTAAGCGATTCCGGATCCTTCCCGGCAGGACTGCTCCTCCTGCACCGGGGTACCCGGCGCCCCTAACAGGAGATGGCGGCTGCTCTTCCAGGGATTGTCCATCCTTTCCTAGGGACCTCCTTGTGCTGGGACCCTCCTGCGGCCCTTCCTGGGAGACTCGCTCCCTTCCCAAGGAGGCGACTCACTTCCCTTCCGGGCTACGCGACTCCCGACCGGATTATCCAATTCCCGTCTGATTTCCCACCCCCTACTAGAGGATGTCGCATCCCCCCAGCAGGCTGTGCGCCTTTCCCGGGGGATTATCCCCCCTTTTCTACAGGATCACACGGGCTGGCGCACCCCTTAGCAGGGATTGTGCTCCGTGTCCTCTCCGGGAGTTTGTGCATCCCTAGGGAGAAGATTCCCTGTCCCAGGAGCTCGGGGACCCTTGGGTGCCTGCAGGAGCCGCAGGGTGGGAGGGAGGGAGCAGGGGTGACACGGGGTGACACGGGGTGACACGGGGTGACACGGCAGCAAGCGGCGCGGCAGGACAGCGACAAGGGCGGACGCGACACCGTGGAGCACAGGGGACGGGGTGCGGGGTGCGCCTGTGCGTGCGGGTGTGCGTGCGGGTGTGCGGGGTGCGCCTGTGCGTGCGGGACTGCGACTGTGCGTGCGGGTGTCGGCACCCCAGGGCTGGCTCTGGGTCCCACCGGGAGCTGAGGGAGCCGAGGGCAGATGGGGGAGCAGCCTGGGGGGCACTGGGAGGGACTGGGAGCACGAGGAGGTGCTGGAAGGTGGTGGGAAGCACTGGGAGCGACTGGGAGCCACTGGGAGTGAACGTTGGTGAGGTCCAGCCCCGCTCAGCGTCCGTGGTCCCCAGCAGCGCGGGGGGCCCAGGCGTCCGGGCACTCACGTGAAGGCGAAGGCCACCAGGGCCCCGCTGACCACGATGAAGTCCAGGATGTTCCAGAGGTCCCGGAAATAGGCGCCTTGGTGCAGCACCAGCCCCAGGTCCACCATCTGCGGGGATGGCGAGCGCCGCTGAGCGCGGGGACACGCGCGGGGACACGCGGGGGCCCCGGCGGCCCCTCCCGCGCACCTTGATCACCATCTCGAAGGTGAAGACGCCCGTGAAGACGTAGTCGAAGTAGCGCAGGACCTGGGGAAGGGAG